GAAGTGAAAGCCTTTCCAAGCAAATTGTTTTTCAAAGTTACTGGTCAGTCTAAAAGTGCATCCTAGGGCTGCCAAGGAAACTGATGCTGGAGATAATCAAGTGAGATTACCAGACATCGCCACAGTTAGCCTTAGGAACTGTCAAGCTTTTTATCTGGAGGGCCCTTTTAGAGAGCCAGTGCAGTGGTGTAGACATTGGACAAGGATAATAAAATTCAAGTCCACTCGCCAAGGAAGCCCACTGGATGACCTTGAGCCAAGTACTCTATCTCAGATAAATGTGGGCATTAGTGTAGAGGAAAATTGAAGAAGGGATTGTTATGCCCAGGGATTGAACTCCTGGAAGAAAGTCTAAAGAAAGAACAAGATCAAGGACATTTCTATCAACTGGAGAAAATATTGGATTTTAGCATTCCATTGGAATAAAATTCTATGTTGCAAATTGGCCACTTGGAGGCTGTTTGCCAAGGTTATTGTATCCCTGCTGAAATTGTAAACACTTGGTGTGTTATCATTGAGAATCTGGCCAAGGTTTTTCTATTCCTTGGAGAAAAAGTCCAGGGACAGAATATTCATCTTTCTATATTCTTTTTTCTCACTGCATTGTATGTCCATGATGGTTCCCTCCCCCCATTATTATCAGTATCCCAGTAGAGAGAAGTGAGGACTTGCCATGTGCAATGTGTGCATAAGATATTCCTATTAAGTTAAATTAAAATTACCCCAGGAAAATACACAAAAGATTGTAGCCTTAAAGTCATGTTAAACCACTTTCATTTCAAGCTCAACAGGATTTTTTTAATGCCCAGTTTTTAACAAGAAACAGGTTGCTTTATTTAAAGGTATATATATTTAATTTCTCTAACATACGGCGTCTGAGATACTGAAGACTATCACTATGTTTTGTGACTGATGTCATTCTCAAAACTCAAAATGATTGTTTGCTTTTATTGGCCAGCAACTAGGAATCCTTACAGTATTTACATATTTAACAATATCACCTTCATTCTGCTTGTCAGGTGTTTCTATTCAGTGCCCCAATTGTAATGACTCATTCAAAAAACCTTGGAGCTTGTTCCAAAATGTTGTTTATGTGAAAGCTGAAGTGGCACAACTCATTCCAAATTGCCTCGGTTCTCCTTCCACACCCACAACTGAATTACTCTGAAGAATCCACCTCAGACTGGCATGCCAGAAACTTAAAGTGTACAAAAAATATCATCGAACTCTTTCTAACAATCTATTTTCAGCAATTTTATGTGATATTTCAAGAAAAAAGAAAAATGAATTCTCCAGTTTGGGGAAAGATAAGTGCTGACACTTGGGCTAAACAAATTCTAACGCAATTATTGCCACAGTTCTTCATTCTGAGGGTCCTTTTTTTTCCCCTGGAGGACATCAAGGAGTGAATGCCTCCACCTAACAGATGGAAAACAACCCAAATAGGAATGGAAGAATGGAAGAGGGAAGGAAGAAGTAGTAGTTTATGGACATTTCTTAGATAGCAAAATGTCTTGAGCCAGCTGCAACAAAAGCAGTGCAATGAAGACTCTTCTCAAAAAGATATGGTGCATGTTGACTGGAGATCCAGTTCTGTCATAACATAGTTTACAATTACAGATTCAGATTCTGAAGACTCAAAATACACCCAGAATAACACAAGTGGTAGGAGCTAGCAAAAATAAAGTACCATTCAATCCCACTGAATTCAGAGGACAACAAGTCAAGTTTAACTTTAATAGGCTAGCAGAGTTGAGCAATAATTTACTCATGGCACATCAAGTGACTGATCATTTTCTGTTTCCAGCCCAACATTTCAGAGTTTTTTTTAAAGTGCACTCAGGGACTCAGTCATATTAAATCAGCCTATTAAAAGCAGCAGATCATTTTGGATCATAGACAAGTGATTGTATTTTTAGGAAATATAGTGATTAATAATCATTTCCCTAGTTATCTGATGGTAAATATAGTAACAGCAACAATAACATGAGAAACAAAGTCTTCAAAAGAAAAAAAAACAAGAAAGTCCAGTTGCCTCCTGAAAAAGCACCTTTGGGAGCAACAATAACAACACTAAAGTTGACAGATAGCATAGGGAACAAAGCTGTTACAGAATCTGGTAGCCCTGCTAGAAATACTTCGAAACCTCCTCCCAGAGGGGAGCAACAGAAACAGACCGTAAAGTAGGTGTGTGGGGTCTCTAACAATGCTTTGAACTCTTAAGCACATAGTGCTGCAACTGTCAGAAATATGAGCCAGTTGCCAAATGTCTTAATTTCGATCTCATGGCCACGGGAATGCTGCAACAGTGTGAAAAACAGTCATAAGTTTTTTCAGTGCCATTGTAATGGTCACTGCATGCATGGTTGTAAGTCAAGGACTACCCGTACCACATTTTATTTATGGTAATGATACAAAAGACATTTATTGAAAAAGTGACACAAATTATATCTATTTTTGGATGGCTTTAGAAATAAAGTATGCTCATTATTTGGAGGTGAAGTCTGACCAAAAATGTCTGTGGTATCTGAAGACCACTGAGAAAGATTCTGCAAATCTACATTTTACTGAAACAAAACACTTTGGTGTAACTGTGTTGGGAGGTTAGTTTGGTTACTGTCCTGAAAACAATATTGAATTGAAAAAATAAAGGAAAATTGCAATCTATGAGGCGTTTAGCTCAGAAAAAATAGATTAAAGTATGTGAGGCAAGAGGACATTTCTGCCTTTCTCCTTATACTCAAAAATGAGCATCACCTAATGAAGCTGAATAATGGGAGATTTCGAAAGACAAAATGAAGTTCTTTGTCACACAGCAAGTAATCAAACTATGGAATTCACTACCCATAAGCTGTGGTAATGGACACCAACCAGAATGGCTTGATAAAAGAATTATGTCACCCTTTCTTCCTGATCTCAGCATTCCTCTGGATCTTGGAGCCTCCTTGCTCACCAGATTTGGTTCTACTTGGATCATAATAAAATACTTATGGGTAAAAAAATGTGTAATGTGTAATAAAAAGTTATTAAAATGTTGCTATTTTAATAAGACTGGAATATTTCTCTTGTTAAAATAGATATTATGAGCATAATATTTTATTTTTTCCTTATATTTACATTATGTCTTTGTCCATACTTGCTGCCATTTTGTGTTCTTCATTTGTTTGGATTTATATATTGCCTTTCTTCTAGGAGCATAATCCTTGGACATAACGATCTCCTCTCCAATTTTCCTCCACAATAATTTATTATTCGTTCGATTTATATACCGCCCTTCTCCGGAGACTCAGGGCGGCTTACAATGCGTTAAGCAATAGCCTTCATACTTTTGTATGCCCACATTTATCTGAGAGAGAGTACTTGGCTCATCCATTGAACTTCCTTAGCTGACAATAGGCTTGAACTTTCTGATCCTGGCCCAGAGTCTTCACCACTACACTGCATTGGCTTTCTAAAATGGCACTCCAGATAAAAAGCTTGAAAATTGCTAACAATGGCTATGTGCCATAATCTCATGACATTATAGGGGTGAAATCCAGCAGGTTCTAACAGGTTCTGGAAAACCAGTAGTGGAAATTTTGAGTAGTTCACCACCTCTGGCTGGCCCCAGAGTGGGGTGGGAATGGAGATTTAGCAATATCCTTCCCCCAGAAGGGGAGGGAATGGGGATTTTGCAGTATCCTTCCCCTGGAGTGGGGTGACAATGGAGATTTTGCAGTATCCTTCCCCTGCCATGCCCACCAAGCCACGCCCACAGAACCGTTAGGGAAAAAATTTGGATTTCACTCCTGTGACATTATCTCCAGAATCAGAAGGTTGTTTCCCAATACCAGTTGCAGGAGTGGGGGGAATACTGCACTATTATGGTTAGTCTTAGATCTGTATCAGTTAGGAATTGCCATCTAGTGGGACTACGAAGAAGGCCCTTCTTGGTGGTGGCTCCTTCTTTATGGAATATAGTTCCCCCTGAAGTACGGTTTCATTGTTGCTTTTCTGAAAGGCCACAAAATGTGGTTTTGTCAAGAGGACCTGGGACCATGAATGTAGAAGGAGCCAATCAAGTGGCTGATTTCACTGGGTGTTGCTGCCATGGGGGAAGGTTCTTTTAATGGGTTTTATTATATGGTGGATTTTTAAAAAAATTATAAGCCACCTGGAGTCACCTATATGTGAGTTGGGTGGCTATATAAATTTGTTACAAATACCTTATTTGTATTATTTTCATAGGCTTTTTGCTGGCAAATGTCAGAACTAAATTCTGAACTAGACAGGCCACTAGTGTGATTTAAAATTCTTACAGATGTTCTGAAGCTATTTCATGACGCGCTTGAATGGAGTTCAGTGACCTCACAGGGATCAGAATTTGAGAGCTACATTTGTTGTGTTACTTATCTTGGGAAAAGTATTCCTGTAGGTTGTGGGATATAAACAACATTTTTTTTTTTTCTGGAGATGAGACTGTATCCACGTTGTCTGAAAGGATATATATTAGAAATATTTATTTTTTTTGGAAATGCCTTACCAAAAGTGATTCATAATGTTTGACATTTGCAGCCCTTGTCTATTGCAAACAGGATCAAAAGCAATCCAGCAACTATATGCCAGTTTCCTTTGTATTACTTGCTTTCTTGTTTGTTTATTTAAAACACATTTATTTGTATTGTTTTATAATCATATTAACTCTACACATAAACAACCCCATCTGCCCAATTAGTAGCAGACTTCCAGCATGTGATATACCACAGTCCAGTTCGTAACTACTTGTTATGCAGTAATTACCTTATATATTAATAATTTATATCCCACTTTATATTCCCTAGTTGTTCTTCCCCTCCCATTTTATCTTCAAAAGTCTTGTTTCATGAATTCAAATGAAAGGTAAATAAAGTGCTTGCTTTCCCCCTTCAAAAAAATGTGTGACGGTTGAATTTGAGTACTTGGTTGTTTATATTTCTAAGCTGCTTAATCATTACCTATTTCTAAAACAGAGACATTCCATATTACTTTTTGTAAATGTTTAATTTAAAAACAAAACAAAACAACAAAGAACCAATGTAGCAAAATGTTAGATTTTTGTTAATTTCTCTGAAATCACAGTTGTAATTTTAATCTAATTTCATCAGCATTATTGCTTTAGTCAATTTTTAGCTTTTGAGGAGTACTGAATTCTAATTCTAAAACTTCAAAAAAGGCAGGAACATAGCTTTTTAAAAATAAATTCAAAAAACTTTTAACAGATTATTTGGATTGCAGTGTCCTGCTGACCTGCAGTTTTTCGTTCTACTTTTCAAGTAAGGTTAGATGAAGTCCCTTTGCGAAGAAATTAAATATGGGTTGATTTATGCTTTGGAATATAACCTTTATGGCACCTCAAGGTCAATTTACAAAGAAAGAGTATTACACAGAGTAGATTATGTTTCCTTGTAGTGTAATGAAAAGATACAGCCCTGCTGAGATGATGAGTCCCAGCAACATGGTCTTCTAACCTTATCCTTCTCATATTGCATGCTGGGATAATTAGTCGCAGCAATTTACAACAGCATGAGAACTGAAAACAGTTCAAATATAACTTGAATGTACTTTTATTTTTGTCAAATGTAACTGTCCTTTAATGCCATCATTCTCTGTTCTAGGTAGCCAGATAAACTTGAACACATAGACTGAAATTGCCCAATGAAAAGTACTAGTAAGGAGAGATACAGGATAATTAGTGATACATTAATTGTATTCTCTCTTTGTTCTCGTATTTATTTTCATGACTAAATGATATTCATTTTACGTAGAAGTTGTGTATGGAATGTGATGTTATACTATTTGTTTTGATTTGTGTGTAGTTTCCCCCATCTCTATGAAGACTTATAGGTGCTTAGTGTTATGCTGACATCAGCTACTACAGAGAAATGACTTTGCATATTTTACAGACAAAGTCTGCTGTTTAGTTGGCTGCCATTTTTTCCCTCTGGACTGTGCATGCACGGCAATGATGCTTCATCTGTGTTTGGCATAACAGCTATTTGTGATAAATATGATCAGCCTTTCCTAGCCAAACTGAACCCATTGGATGGCGAAATAATGAAATTCTTGCAGCAGAGGAAAGGATTGTAAAAATGACAGAATTTACAAAAATGGAGAAATTAAACTTGCTTGGTGACAGGATAAACTATAAAAACTTTTTTTGAAAGATTGGAAATCTTACACAAACCTTTTGTTGAAAGAAGAAAAAAGTGAATTGATGATTTATGGCTTTGAAGATTAAGAAAGATACAGAATGAGGGGATTTGTAAAATATTTAAGAAGGAGGAGGGACAGTATTTATTTATTTATTTAATTTATTGGTTTGATTTATATGCCGCCCTTCTCCGGAGACTCAGGGTGGCTTACAATGCGTTAAGCAATAGCCTTCATACTTTTGTATATACCTGCTTAGTAGGGCTTTCGCCCCCCCGCCCCCCCCAAGCGGTGTTCTTTTTACACAAAGTCACCTTATTGCCCCCACAATCCGGGTCCTCATTATTAGTCATAATTATCTGTTTAAAAGGCGGCCAGAAATTATTTCTATACTGTATTTCTTAATTTTAGCTTTCTTTTTCTTTCTTGCACTCTGTTGTTTTTCTTGTTCTTTTTCCTTTTGATTAATCTTTTATTATATGAAAATTCTTAATAAATGTAAATAAAACAAAGTTAAAAAATGGAATCCGCTAGGAGGATTTGTGGTTGTGGAAGAGTGATGCAAGTTTCTCATCCAAGTGCTGAAGTATCTTTTTTCCTTATGTCTAGAGCATAGATGAGGCTATGAGAGATATGCAAAAGAAATTTGCATATCTCTCATAGAAATTTGAATATTATTTTGTTGTTGTTGTTGTTAGTTGAGAAGTCATGTCTGACCCATCGCGACACCAGGGACAACGTTCCTCCAGGCCTTCCTGTCCTCTACCATCCTCTGGAGTCCATTTAAGCTCACGCCTACTGCTTCAGTGACTCTATCTCGCCACCTCATTCTCTGTCATCTCTTTCTTCTTTTGCCCTCAATCTTTCCCAGCATTAGGCTCTTCTTCAGTGTGTCCTTCCTTCTCATTAGGTGGCCAAAGTATTTGAGTTTCATCTTCAGGATCTGGCCGTCTAAAGAGCAGTCAAGAGCACTCCTTTAGGACTGACCGGTTTGATCGCCTTGAACATCATAAATTGACTAAATTGAACAACGTATGTCCAGAACAAAAACAGATTAAACATTATCACTATAGAAATCATTAGCCTTAGCAGTGGACCTGAACAGTTTCCAGAACAGGAAACACAACCATATAAGCTAATTCTACTTTACTATAAGGCTACCTCAACAGACTCTTGCAAGTCTAAAAGTCCAGTTCCTCCTCTGTCTCCTTTATATTTCAATATATTATGGCATATGTCTTCTGAACTTCTTGCCCTTCTATGTTGTCTCTTCGCTGACTGTTTTTTTAGGCATGTCTCTGGGCCTAATCTCCCAAGGTCATTCCCACATCTCTTTACACAAATGCTTGTGGAAAGTGTTATTAGCATTACAACAGCAACATCAGGCCTCTAATCAGAATTGTTATGTGGCGCCATGATGGGTAGGCTGTTTGTCCTGTGGAAATAAGCAATGCCATGGCATATGATTATTTTAAAAAAAATCACATTATTCTTTGGACATATGCATGATGATATGTAGAACTTGATTCTGCCTCAATCAACTTTAATCTTTTAAAACCTCCCCTCTTTCAGTACAAACATGCACAATGGGACCAACATTTATGCTTAAATACATTTTGCTACTGCTACTGTTATGGCCCACTTGCAGTGAAATTATGATCAGATATTGCACCAAACTTGGTTATACCAATTAGGCTTCATGCAGATTCTTAAATTGCGTAGTTTTCATGTGAGCATCACTTCTTGGCATACTATTCTGTACTGTTTGCTAAATGTAGTCTTACTGAACAATGCTTCACGCTTTCAATTTTGAAGATATTATAAACAAACATCAATAAATCTAGTGAGTTAATGTAATGTAAGGTCTTCACAGATGTCAATTTAATAAGAACACTGAATAGAAAAAAAGTTTGGATCAGAAGCTGCAAATCTGTACTTGATAGCAAAGTGGATAGAGTTAAGTGGAGTACAATTGGATATTTATTTTATGTGGAAGGGTTATACTACTTTGGGAATGATACGTTCAGGAGGACTATATGCTAGGAAGTAGAAAAGGGACTAGTTGAAAGAGGTAGAGTGTATTTTTTTCTCATTTGGCAACTTATTTTTCTCACTTTCTTTCTCCATCGTTTTAAACATTTCAGATTTCCTTACAAAATGTTTGATCACATACCACTGCTATCTATTACAGGTAGTCCTCAATTTACGACCACAACTGAACCCAAAATTTCTGTTGCCAAGTGAGATTTATTAAGTGAGTTTGCTGCATTTTACGATCTTTCCTGCCACAGTTGTTAAGTGAATCATTGCAGTTGTTAAGTTAGTAACATGGTTGTTAAATGAATCTGGCTTCCCCCTTGACTTTGCTTCAGGTTACAAAAGGTGATCACATAATCCCAGGACATTGCAACTGTCATAAATATGAATCAGTTGCCAAGTGTCATTTTGATCATGAGACCCATGGGGATGCTGCAATGTTCGTAAATGTGAAAAATGGTCATAAGTTACTTTTTTTCAGAGTAGTTATAACTTTGAATGGTCACTAAATGAATTGTTGTAAGTCAAGGACTATCTGTACTCTATTTAAACATTGTCTCCTGTCCTGTTCTTTAGATTTACTCAACCTGTATGAAATTAGACATATTTGCCCATTGCTGGGAACAACGTATAGGTGACCTCTCTTTTTGAATTCCATCTAACCATGTTATTTACATCTTCTTAATTTATTCACATTTTGTTTTACATATTAGGTTTGCAATTGTATCCCATTCATTCTCTGAACTGTATGACCAACCAAACTAGCATAGTTTTTGTACTGGTTAATCACTTCTTCATGACCCTTTCTATTTCATCTAGTTTCAGCAAACATATTTCTTAATAACCTATCCCAGTGTTACTGGATACACATTAAATGTCTCACATCTATTTAACAAAGAGAACAGAAACAAACTCTTATTGTTGTTGTTAGCTGTGAAGTTGTGTCCGACCCATCGTGACCCCATGGACAACGTTCCTCCAGGCCTTCCTGTCCTCTACCATCCTCTGGAGTCCATTTAATCTCACGCCTACTGCTTCAGTGACTCCATCCAGCTACCTCATTCTCTGTCGCCCCCTTCTAAAAAACTCTTATAATCATTTTTGCCTTTGCCTTTTCTTTCTTCTTTCCTTGGCTTCCATGGCCATTTTTTCTTAAGATCTACTCTTGATAAAATTATGATCTGTCCCACACTCAGACCCTCTCATCATCCTCGTACCCTATACTAACATTTTGCCCAAAGTATGCTTATATTATTAGGTGCATTTTGGGTGAGTCTCTATTCAGGACTTTGCAAGCTCCATCCCATCAACTCGGAGATATATGCAGTGTATAGGCACACACTCAGGATGTGCCTACTTTTCTCTGTGAGACAGACTGGTACCCAAATACTTTGATGATGGACTAAGTCAGGGGTGGGTTCTACTTACCTTTACTACTGGTTCTCAACGGGGTCGCACGTGCCCTCTCTTCTGCGCATGCGCAGAAGCATTTTGATGACGTCGGGGTCGGTGGGCAGAGCCTCCCACCGGTTTTACTACCGGTTCTATAGAACCGGTGCGAACTGGGGGCAACCCACCACTGGACTAAGTGTCTTTTTTTCAATGGTCTATCAGTGTTTCAGTGGTCTAGATAGTATTCCTCACTCTTTCTCTATCTATTTCTTGCTACATAGCTTAATCCTATGCATTTTTACTCAAAGTGTTACATTTATCCCAAAACTCCTGAAGATTTCCTTCTCCCCCACCGTGGTCTTAATATTAAGAGATGATATTAGATAGAGATACAGAAATATACTTTCTATCTACTATGTATAATATAATCTAAAGTAATTTATAGGTAAACTATTTAGACAAACATATTTAGCCTGCCTTGTAACTACGTTCAGCAGGTTCAGTAGGCTTACTCACAGGCATGTATACGAAGTGCGTAGCAATTCACTTTCTTATTCTATACACCTTGCAGGCTTAGAGACCTACATAACAGATCATCCGGTCAACTGGTTGAATAATGTAGATCTATCCAATAAATATTAATTAAATAATAAACGGGTACAAGCGATCGCTACTTCCCAGCTTTCTTCGTTACGTTGTGACACCCGTCCCTCCTCGATTTCTTCTCCATTGGTTCAGTCCGGACTGTACCGGGGAAGGGCGAAACATTAATGTTATCCGGCCACACAGTGTTCAACTTTCAGATGTCACCCCTTTACCTTTCACAAGTAGTGGTTTGGTCCATGACCTCTGCTCCAGCGGGGAGCAGTAAATGAAGCGCGGCCTCTCTTTGCACTGGCAACTTCCATCTCCCTCTTCAGTTCCTTGGCTAGGCGGCTGGTGTTGCGCGCCTGCGCACTCTTTCTCCCTTGCCCTGAAGTCTCGAGCTATTCCCTCCCCACCCCCGCCTCACGGCTTGGGTCGCGCTTTGGGGGTTGTCTCGCCTTCTCCTCCCCCCTTCCTCGACGGTTGAGGCGCGCGCCGCCAGGGGCAGACGGGAGCCCGAGCGCGAGAGCGCGCTCTCCTGTGAGGAGAGGCTCCGATGCCGCTGCTGTGAGATGGCATCATTTTGTTGCGCTGGGGCGGCAGCGGCGCTAAAGGCGGCGGCGGCGGCGGTGCCGACGGTTGGGAGCGGTGCCGAAGGTTGAGGAGAGAACCCAGCCCCTCTCTTGTCAGACAGAGAGAGAGAGAGAGAGAGAGAAAAGGGGGGCGGCGGTGGCGGCACTACCTCGCAGCTGGGCTCCGAGCCACGGTAAGACCGAGCGAGTGAGAGGAAAAGCAGCCATTCAGTCAGCTTTGACTCTTGACAAATAAACAGGCTGCGTAGCCGCCGCCGCCGCCGTAGTCTCGCCCCGAGTATTCTATTCCTTGGTGGGGGCCTGAGAGAGAGAGAGAGACAGACAGACAGGCGGGGGTGGGGGTGGGCAAGACACGCTATTGCTTCTTTTGGGGGTCGTGTTTGGGGAAGGAGCTCTTCGTGCCCCTCGGGGACCGCTGACGTCCCAGCTGAGCAAATCGGAGAGGAGGGCGAGATCTGTCCTCTGTTTTTTTTTTTTTCCTCCCTTGCCCGGCTTGTTCAAGGGAAACCCGGAGGGCAGAGGCTGATTGCCGGCCTTCTCTTTACAGACCCGACTCACTCCTTGGCCTGGTGTCACCTTGTTTATTCGCATTTTAGGTCTTTAACTGCCGGGAGGGGTAGAGAGGGTAAGGCGGGCCGTGGGAGAGGAGCCAGGTTGAGGGCTGAACCTTGAACCCCGTTAGCAGCGTTGATTGGCAGAGGCGTCGGGTGCCCTGGGAAGCATTTTGGCCACACCAGGGGTGACTTATTTCTGGATCCAAAGGACAGGGGGATATATTGGGTTCTGTCTTTATGTTTGTTGGTATTTATTTCTGGGAAGGAGGAGGTGATGAGGAAAAGGAGTGTCTCACTTTAGGATGACTTGCTTTAACTCTGCAGCGTTTCTTGGTCTTGCAACCCCCCCTCTTCCCCTCCTTTGCCCAAAATACTGCATACAGTAATACAGCTTTTCTCCCAAGTGTAGAGCGTGTTGCTGCTGGAAGGCTGAAAGTCTGGAAGGGTTGATTATATCTTACCAAAATATTCCCCATTTCCACACAGTTTTGAACAATTTTGTTGTTGTTGTTGTAGCTGGCTAGATAATGCAGATGTTGATTTGAAAACAGCTCCCTAAGTCCCTGATTTGCTTTCAATAAAAAGTGCATGTGATGTATAGCATTGATTGACATGGTAGAAAAAAAGTGTTATGCAATAAGTTTAATAGCATTCTTCTGAAAACCGAATAATGAAGTCTTAAGACTAAAATCTTACTGCGTTTTAAAGTGAAGTTGACTTATGATGTGACGTTATGATGTGTTCTGAAATGGGTTGGTGGATATTAGTATTCAAGTCATACTTGATTCTTCTTTATGTAATTGCTTGATGTTGAAGTATTTTATTTAATAAACTTTTTTATTAAAAAAGTTTTAAAAAGTTTATTGAATAAAATAAAAAAATATTAAAAAGTTTATTGAGTAAACTTTTTATCTTTGTCTTTTTATCAAGCACTGTAATGCGATACAAGGCTTTCCATTAAGGCTTGCTTTGCTTAGAAATATCTACTACATTTTGGAATAATATGTCCTAGATCTTAAACATGTTTTCAGTTTTTTTTGGCAGATTAGTGTCTTTAATCTTTTAGGTTCAGATCTAACCTACAGTATTGAACTGATGTTTAATATTTTAACTATATATAGGTCATCTTTTAAGATAATAAAATGCACAGGTACTTGTGGAATAGGAATTTTGGGCAGTAATCTTTGCCACTCTTCATTAATAGGCTGTAATTGCCATAGTTTTGTTTTTATCACCATTAAACATAATATTATTTCCTCCAGCTTGTCACCTTTGTAGCATCCCATTTCTCACTTAAAAAAGACAAAAAATAATATTAATTTTCAAAATATTGCTAATTTAGCTGGTAACTTACCATAATAATTTGAGATATGGACCAACTTAGCTCCTACCCACTAAGAATTCTGTGCTTTATGTGATCAATTTACTATTCTTTAGCAGAAACTAACCAAGTGAAGTTTTCCAGTTACAATAATGGGAGCAAAACCAAGTACCATTAGCAGGATTTATTTCCATGTCATTTCAACAATGTATAAAAGCTAGTGGCAATTGACATTTCAAAAAATATAGAAAAATATGTAATTTTAAAAGGTACAGATGTATTGAAGTCAAGCTCAGCTAGTAGTGATTACATGACTGACTATCTGTTAGGTTTTTTTGGCAATAGTATGGAAGTGGTTTGTTTTTGCCTCCTTCTGGGATTTTTTTTTTTTTTTTACTTACCAGTCTAAGGCTTCTCTTAAAATCAGATTTATAGCTTAATACTATGAGACAAAGAGAGCCTTGCCATAAGTACATATGTCTTGTTAGCATCCATGTTAATGTGTTAAAGTGCAACATGGTGTATTACTTATAAACATCAACTGAAACATAATATAGTGACTAATTGCAGTTTAGTGTCTTACCTTTATAACTATAGTAGTGGCATAAAGATTAGTCTCACTGAGCTAAATGGAGCATACTATCAAGTTAATTGTATTATATGCTTGGAAACTAAAAAAATAGAATTTATTTTGGCAGTATTAAAATAGCATTACTGATTTTTGTTTTCTGAGCATAATTCAAAACATTAGTAGATAGAGTTAAGGTAGATTTTAATGGATATGGGAAATTAGAAAAGTTGCTACTCTTTAGGTAATAGTTCTGCAGAACTCTGAAATTATTGCTAATGAGACAAAATGAAGCAAGCGGGATTTGAATGTAATTACTTGTTCTGTTCAAATGTTGGTACTTTTGATGGGCTTTTCAAATTATAGATCTAAATATCAATAAACACAAACAAGTATTTGAATATTTAAGTAGCATTATATTTTATGCAATTCTTTGTTATTTCAACAAAGTCTCATGAAGGTTAGGTTCAGGTATTGTACTAAGCTACACTAAGCTATAAATCATGTTGTTAAAGAACTATTGTAGCCTAGTTCAGATTTGAATCAAATTTGCAATATAAAAAGAATACAGTACTGCAAAAAGGATGAAGAAAGACAAGTACAGATACCAGTTCTTAAATATAAACTATGTTTTTTAAAGAATGATGAAAGTTGTTCAGGAGAGACAGAGAGAAAACAAAATGCAGCAGATTCAGTGGAATGACTATACTTATTTACTTCAAATATTTATGTCCTATTTTTCAGCTGATAAAGCTTCCAGAGCAAGTTTCATATCCTTAAAATAAGTCATTATTGTACTACAGCATTGTGGAATGCTTATTGCTACAGTATTCGCAAGGAAGAATGAAAGGCCGTCCTTCATCAGAGCAGATGTAATCAGCTTTTATCCCTCTGTTGACATCAAAAAGAGTAAAGTTTTCACCACAATAACTGAGCTTTCTTGCAATAGCTTAGTCCAGTTGGGGAGAGGGGCACTGATCATAATCTATAGCTAAAGCAGCATTAATGCCTACTATTCCATGCTTCTTTGAGATTTAGGTCATTCTCTTCAAATAGAAATCCAAAGAAAAAGTAGAATTTTATTTAGTCCATTAATTTAACTTCTTTTAAAAGCCGTCAGAAGCCAAGACATATATTGGAGCTCAAAGGGGAAAAAAAGGATAGTGGAGATGGAGATGACTTTGTACGGAGATGAATAAACTTAAACATGGTAAACAGAATGAATCAAAAATGGGTAGGGATAGGGATTAGGTGGGTTAAATGGTAGTTTTAATTATTTTTGTTGGTGGAATTGATAGGTGGGAGAAAAATATAGGGAAAAGTGAAACTTTTAAGAGCTCAAAGTAGGGTTTGATCAAAATACTTGGTTGATCAAAATAATTTGTTTTTAATTAAATTCTTTAATTTTTAATTAAAAGAGTTTATTATTTCTTAACTATTTCATCTTTACAAGTCTTTTCTTCATTCTTTTTTCAAAAACTATAAATTTATGTTAAGCAATTCAGCTAACTTTCTGGTCAGTTGCTCAAATATTTTCTGAGCAAATCTGATGTAATTCCTCTCTCTATAGTTTGCTCTAGTAGTCCTCTCCTCCATTTTTGTTACTTTTCTGGTGGTTGGGTTGCTATTACATTATCCAAAAATGAAAGTGTATCAAACAAGGAAAAGAGAAAAGACAAGCTATCCCCCTTTTAATTTTTGTCTTCCTGTATCCTTAATACTTTAGTCTCAAGTGGCATTCCGTAGTTCCAGGCAGCATCACAGTCAACATAGCTGCATAGTTATAATTAACTTCAAAGTGTTTGAAGTTATCTGTATCTTTTGTCCTTTAAATCCCCCAATTGTCTGCCCTTTTTAATAGAAAATAAAAACCAGTCCTGTGATTGGTTTTTGATTTGTTTTTTAAATCCAATTAGTTTAAAAGCATTTTCACCCTAAAATAATTTTTTGAGATAACTGTTTCTTTACCTGTTTTAAAGTTTCTTACATCAACTCCTTGTTATGTTTTTTTGGCAAAAATGTTTAAATCTTTAAAACCTTTTTTCTTTATTCCTTTGTAATCCAGAAAGCATAATAACTCACCAAATGAAATTTTTATTCTGCCAGTCAGAACATCTCTCTAGCTGTAAATTATTTATATCCAAAAATGGTTAAATAATGAGGCTTCTGTGAGCTTTTATATTCATATAAAATGCATTGTGGTTGTGAGTTTGATTGAAATCCTTTGACTCCCAACTCATGATGCAACCACAAAAGCCTCAATTCCTCCAGTTTACTTACAAGGAGCAGTTGTCCAGAGTGCAAGTAGGCAATCTCATAATCTTTCCTCTTCATTGTCTGCTAC